TTGGATTTGTATGCTATTTGTTCTTATCTTACCTGGATATGTGTGTGTGTGTGTGTGTGTGTGTGTGTGTGTGTGGCATGACAAAAAGCAAAAATATTCTATGGTAGGTAATCGATTCATAAAATACAAAAATAACCTACGGTTGATAGTCAAATGACAAAATACAAATATATTATATGGTGGGTAAGTGAATGTCAAAATGGAAAAATCCTATGTGATACTTTTCATCCTTCAAAAAAACATTTTCAGACTAAATACTGTTTTTATTGATGGGATCATATATATATATACATACATGCATATATATATTTCAGGGGAGAGAACAGAGTACAAACTAACAAGATGTTGAAAATGCAGGGACATTTAACTTTAAATTCAGATTTTAAATTTCTTGTATTCAATTTGTCTAGATGCACCATGTTCTTCTTCTTTATATGCCTTGTCCCCTCAAAACATGGGCGATCATGGCTCTCCACAACCTTCTGTTCCTTGTAGCTCTTAATAATCTTTTTATTTCTGTCATTTCTCCTAAATCCTGTTCTGCCATCCATTTACTGAAGCTCATTAATTATATCATGTGCTATTTCCCTCTGTTTCTCTTACCCTCAATCTGTCCTGTGAGTATCAGAATTTCCAAGCCCTCTTTCCTTATGTGCCCAAAAAATCTCAACTGTCTCTTCCTGATATTAAGTATTAGTTTCCTTTTTCTTTACATTTTCTCCAAATGTTTGTCACTACTCACATGTTTACTCTATGGTATTCTCAGCATCCTTCTGTAGAATGATATTTATATTGCTTCAAGTCTTCATCTTTGAGGAGATTGTATAGCACTCACTGCCATAGAGGAGGACAGATATCATGTAACAGTTTTGTACATTTTTCCTTATTTCTAACAAAATGTTTCTATTTCTTAGTACTCTACTGCTTTTGTCTTTGTTTTTATCACTATTGCTTTTAAATATTCGACATCGTAATCACAGATGTTTTGCTAAGAAAAGTGGTATTCTGGATGTAGACTTACTATGGAAAAATCAGAAAATACTGTACTTCCTATACTTGTTTGCATTAATAAATTACTTTTTCATTTAATTCAAACTACATTATGGTCAGACTTATTACAATGAACAACAAACTCACTGAACGTATTATTTTATAAAAGATTCCTTTTATGTTTATATGAAATGGCTACATGCTTAAGTTATGTATTTCTTGGAAAATTTTTAACATCATTTTGTAAATTCCTGCTTTAGGTTTTAAGTTGTTAGTTGTTTTGTTTTGTATTAATTTAAACTTGTTTTTTAAGTAGTTGCAAGAAATTTTATATTAAGTTAAGATAAATTCTTATCAATTGACTTTCACCATTTTGAATGCACAACAAAATTATATGCAAACAAAAATAATGTTTCAAGAAATATGAATCAAATAAAATTTTGTTTTTTTTTTTAAAGGGAAATTGTGTTACATTTTTAAAATATTGGCTTTTTCATGAGATGGATCAAAAAAATTATAAGCAATGCAAAGATTTAACCTGTTTTAAGTTCGGGTGCTATCTGGAATAATGCGTATTTGAATATCATGTGACAAAACTCATACATTATGAATCTGAGGAAGGGCAGCTGTACCCAAAACATACTTTAAAAGTCTGGGACAATCGTTTAAAATTAATACTTTCCACTCTCTCAGTTTTGTGCCCTCTGATCGTTAGAGATTATTACTTAAACTTGCATTTTTGACGTCCTTTTTGAATTGATATTAGAAATTATATATCCTGTCTTTTACACTCTCTGAGTTTTTAGTTTATAGCATTTCAATTAATATATTTTCTAATAGGCTGCTTTTATTCTTTTATGATTGTTCTTGGTGACAATTTTCGCACTGTAAAAAAGAATGTGAGAAAATTTAATCAAACATTCGAAAGAATGTATCCAACATTTCAATGATTCCTGTCTGAAAACACTCTAAAGATGTTTTATATAAGAATCATGTCCTCCATCAATATTTTCAGCCAGCAGATGTCCTCATTCTCACACAATGGAAGGAATGGCAATCGACAAAATTGCCTCATTCTATATGCAGCCCAGGATTAGCAACTAATCCAAGATAATCTTAAATGTCTGCCATAGCCATTAATCAGCACTTCTACCTGCTTTGGAATATTTTTCTGCTTGCAGACAATGTGGCCAGGTTAATGCAACTACTTCCAAAAGAAACAGGTAGTTGGCTGGTCCCACCATTTTCAGCATTCCAAGCAGATATTATCCATTAAGAATGTCTTTTAATGAGATCTGTGTTGAGAGTTGTAGATTAACAGATAAAGGGAATTATTTCTTTGCCAGTGGAACTTATTTCTTTACTTTGTTTGCCTTGGTTGTCAGTGTTCCCGTTTGGAAAATGAATGATATCAAAATATTAGGTTGGAAAGAAAATCCTGTCACTTTTTTGCATAACCATTTTGAGACTGCTTTTTCAATACTAGCATTGAAATAATCCTTCATTTTTATGTTTTAATACTTTTTATGTCTTTGAAGATTATTTAATATCAGAGCTTTTAAATTTTATGATGATTGTAGACTTGTAAAATGAATTTAGATGAGACTCATATCAGACTATATGAATTAAAAAAGTGCTCTTTAGTAATGGAAGCAGCAAGAAATACTCATTCTGTTTATGGAAATTAAGTTCTGTGTCTGCATATGTTAATGATTGTTAGGCCAATTTTGATCAGAACATGTTTTCTCAAAGATTCCTTCAATCTGAACAACCAAGTTCTGCAATATTAAACTTCTGTAAACTGTAGTTCAGAAAAAAACTTGTAAGGAAATTGCATGTGAATTAGCAAAACAGTTTAATACAAGTCACTCGTTGGTCATAACCCATGAACTCGGAAAGTCGCTCTTTGGTCATAAACTATGAACTCAGAAAGCCACTCTTTGGTCATAAACCACAAACTCAGAAAGACTCTTTGGTCATAGACCACAAACTCAGAATGTCACTCTTTGGTCAAAGACCATGAACTCAGGATGTCACTCTTTGGTCAAAGACCATTAACTCAGGATGTCACTCTTTGGTCAAAGACCATTAACTCAGGATGTCACTCTTGGGTCAAAGACCATGAACTCAGGATGTCACTCTTTGGTCAAAGACCATGAACTCAGAAAAGTTTCTAAGCCTGGTTAATGGATCCTTAATTTTCTACTTTGTTCTCAGTTTAATGAAAGAGTTTCCCTTTGCTTTTTCCCTAGTAGAACTGAGCAAAACTATTTTGCCTATGATGATAAGTGGGGTCTCTATAATCCAATAAGAATGACAATGATTAGCATCCACTGAATAATTGGAATCCCTTCCCAAACTAGAACTAAAAAATTACATTATGCTGTGTTTGGTGGGGTGGCGGGTAGGATTACTTTTGTCTGTCATGGAGTGCTAAACCAAAATAAAACAGTTAATGTAGGGAAGTATATTGCAACTAAGTAGAAGTATAGCACAAAACTTGCATAAAAAGTGTCCATCATTAGTTAATTGTAAAAATGTATTGCACTTACATGATAATCAAACATTGTATACTGGCTTTGTTACTCAGATAAAAAGTTTTTCCTCATCCTCCTTACTCTCCTGATCTTGCTCTATCTGACTCTCATCTTTTAAATTATTTCAATATATTTTTAGATGGAAAATAGTTTATTAATTGTGAAGAGACTAACATTGATATTGAGTTGTTTCTTTGTTTCAAAACCTAAAGAATTTTACTTGATTAAGAAATTATCAAACAGATGGGATTATGTCATCAATAATGAAGTGGGGGAATATTATCTTGATTACATATATCAGTTAAGAGCAAAGATGCATTTGTTTCTTTTCCATCTTTAAATGCAACAGGACTTTTTCTTTCCAGCCTCAATAGCTTAGTACTGTTATTCATTTACAAAGATCATTCAAATAGGCAGTTCTGAAATGAATGAGCTGCCACTATCATTCACCACCCTGAACATGTTTTAATCTTACTAGGCCTACATTTGAAGGATACTGATATCAATGGTTAAGAGCTTTGAGATAAAGATTTTTTTTTAAAGTGGAGAAAAGAAATAAAGCAAAAGATGAATGATATCAAGGAGCTGTCATGTGTGACTCTTGACATGGTGTTTAAATAGATAATATATTTATATGATATCAATTATTGAGAAGAAATATTAACTTGATATATATATATATATATATATATATATATATATATATATATATATATATATATATATATATATATATAATGATATGATATATAAATTTTATATATCAAGAACAGATTTGAAAGAAAAGATGTATGACAAATTGAAAAAAGTTTTTGTTATACATTAGGAATCCATCAGACTCGTACTTACAGAGTTTCATCATTCTGGGCAGATTTTATATTATTACCATATATATATATATATATATATATATATATATATATATGAACTATCATGTTAATATTTCTTTTTGATAATGGTGGACAATCCTGGGGTCACATTATGCTGTGGCATTGTTCATCTTCTCTATCCCTTTTCTGGATATCTCAGTTCCAGATGGTAGAGTAATGAATAGCAACTTGGATTGAGGAAAAAATCTGCCTCGTCAGTCATGTATTAAAAGATACATGATTGCCTAAGCATATATCAAGCATGGCACATAACTGACTGAATTCAACTCTCCAAGTTTTTGTTCACCTCTGCTGTAGCCAGGTATTGAACTCACAACTCTTCGGGTCAAGTCACTGGATTATTTCAGTGAATGTTTTTATCCACTGGGTGATGTGTCCAGAGCATAAAATGGCCAAAATGTTGGGAATGTGACAATACAGATGAGGAAAACAGTCCGAAGAAAGTAATTAGTGTAGTTATAATATCTCATCTCAGAAATATAGAAAAAAATTAAATTAATAGCTGTCAGTCTAATTTTAGCACAATCCTATATCCAAAACAAACATATCAAGATTGTAGCATATAATGTAAAATATTTGACAGTATCAAAATTTATCTCTCCCCCTCTCTCTCTCTCTCCCCCTCTCTCTCTCCCCCTCTCTCTCTCCCCCTCTCTCTCTCTCTCATTAAATTCAGGTGCAAAAATCTTTGGGGATTTTAATGTCCACCACATTAAATGACATCATCATTTTAATACTACTGATGTTGCTTGTATTCAAAATTTTAATTTTTATGTTGTTCAGTCTCTCAGTCAAATATTTGACTTCCCTATTTATTTCCCTTATAATTCTGGTCAACATGTTTCTTCACTTGATTTGCTCCTTGATTTTAATTGATTTGTTCATTTCCCCCTCCTCTCCTGATGCATTGCAACTGTTTTAAATTGATTCATGTATTAATTGCAGACCCCCTTTTCACAAGACTTCTTTCTGCTACCAGATTGCTGATTAGGATTCATTTCATAATTTTATTTACAATGTTCCTTGGAATGAAATCTTTACTCTCCCTACTGATAAATACGCCTCTGAAGTTTATTCTTCAATGAGAAGTAGGCACTGAGGCTTTTGTGCCTTCTCACAAATACCAGATAAAACCACATCCTTTATGGTTTACACCTGCTTTTTCAGCCACTATAGCCCACAAGAATCACTTTTTTCAGCTATACCAATGTGATAGCACGGATTATAATGGACAACATTGTGTCCACTCATAATAAGTGCAAACATATCCTCAAAAGGAATAAGATATAGTTTACTAATAGAGTTAGGCACTGTATAGCCTCTCACAAGTTTGCTTCCCATGACTATTAGTGGCTCTGTAAAAGTGTGTTAAAACTGTGTAAGCACTTAATTCCTCCTCTCTTCAATGAATTTGAAGTCCTATCATCAGCTAATAAAGCTTCTCTTCCAATTCTCTTCTCAACTTGTGTTATGGTCCGGTTCCTTGTACCATGGTGATAGTCCAAGGTAGAACCAATAAAGAAGAACTCGAACACGGATATGGAATAACACAGATATATTACAAACAGGAATATATACAGAGAAGTAGAAAGTGTTAGTACGAACAATCAGGTTTAGTAGAGAGAACAATGTAGTCTCGACCAGTATCACTATTCCAATGTCTTGTAGTAATTGTCTGAACGCGACTCTGTTTCGGACTGCCTCTGACTCGACTGACTGACTCACTCGCTCTGACTGACTGACAGACTCCTGACGGACTTCTGATGGACCTCACTCCAGACTTCAGACTGAACAGTATTTAGTCACCACCCCCATGAAGGCATCATGTGGCACAAGGTCGGTTTAACGTGGGATCTCTGAGCCCACGGGCTCGGCCAAAAATATGCACTTTGAACCCATATAAATGGGTTCAGGGTTGGTTTACCTCCCCAAAAGAGACTCTGCCTCATTCGGATTCCTCCCCACCCAAAGGCAGAGAGTTCAACTGATCAGTCGGTTGCCCGACTTCAGATTGAACTCCCTGCTTCCTCTTGAGGCACAGTATTTATTACGTATGGAATAGTCCATTATGTTATTATGGGTAAGGTCCCATAACAACTCATCAGGAGTATCTTTGCCTGACTTTCCACTTAGAACTGAGTCTGTACTGCATGAAATTCATCTATGGTTTTCACTACCATCCCCGAACTTGATTTCCTCAGAGCATATGGACTTGACAGCATCCCTGCAATTTTCCTTTGAAAAGAATTATGTTTTTGAATTGTAATCTCCAAGCTCTCCAATAGAAACGTTGCTTTTTCTTGCTTTCCAGTTTGTTGGAAATTCCCCCCACCCCCGTAGTTTGTGTTTTTCTGATCCTTTCAACTCCTAACCCTAACCCTAACCTCTTTTTTAGCAAAGTACTAGATGACCTAATCAACTCTGAGTTGGTTATGTATCTCACTTTGCAGAGTTTTCTTTCAGATAAACAATATGGTTTTCATTTCTTTAGGTTAACCACCGATATTTTGATGGTTATTGCTGAAAAAGATTGTCAAGATTTAGATTAGAATGATCAAATTTGGACTGCTGCTTTGAATATCTCGAAGGCATTTGACAGGATTTTAGTATGTTGGTCTTTTTCATAAGTTGAAGGGTTATGGTGTTTTGATTCAATCTTTCTTATCAAATCACAGAATGAAACATGACATGAAGTGTTGTAACTATGGAGAAAAGCTTTTGTTCACCTACATGAATTCAATACCTGGCCACAGCAGAAGGGAACCAAAACATGGAGAATTAATTTACTAAATGGAAATAACTGAAATCCGAAATATCCAGAAGAGGCATGATACATGGAACGAGAACAATCCACCCCAGTATATGAAATAAAGAGTTTAGTTGGAAATTCAAATGTATATCACCTGAAGAAGGCTGGAGGTTACAATGGCCAAAACATTGTAAATATGACAATAAAGATGAGTACAGCAATCCAAACAATGTAAATAGTGTAAATAGTCATGTAATGAAAGTCGTCTTGAATGGACACACTGATAGTTCTTTCTGTGTTAAAGTAGATGTCCTCCAATGATATTTATTCTTGAACCTACAGAGTTCCTTATTTTCATCAACATACTCAACAATTTTATCCATTCTTGACTCTGTATCTATATTGATGACAAAGTTATTTA